GGGGGGTACCTCGTGTTCTGTGGAGGGAGGGAGAAGAGGATTAGTGAAGGGTTTCAGCAAGGACACATGAAAGGTGGGTGAGATCCGGTAATGGGCAGGCAGGTGTAACTGGTACGTGACTTCGTTGATGCGCCTTGCTACGGGGATAGGACCTATGTACTGGGGACTCAGCTTCCTGCTGGGCCGCCGGAGGCAGATGTCCCGGGTGGATAACCAGACTTGGTCCCCTGGTTGATAGATGGGATTGTCGGACTGACGAGTGTCCGCATTGGCCTGGTGCCTCCGGACGGCCCGCTGGAGATGGATTTGCGCTGAGTCCCATACCCTCTCACTCTCATGGAACCAGTGATCTACCTCTGGGACTTCCGAGTGTTCCTCGGTCAAAGGAAACAGGGGCGGCTGGTAACCTAGCACACATTGAAAGGTGGTGAGTCCGGTGGTTTCCTGGTGCAGGGAATTCTGGGCGTACTCGGCCCAGGGTAGGTACTGGCTCCAGCTGTCCTGATGGTCATGACTGTAGGCCCGGAGATACCGTCTGATCTCTTGGATCTTCCGTTCGGTCTGGCCGTTGGTCTGCGGGTGGTATCTAGAGGACAAATTGACGGATGCTCCCAGGAGGCGGAAAAACCCTCGCCAGACCCTGGAGATGAACTGAGGCCCTCTGTCTGAAACAATGTCTTCTGGGAGACCAAAGTTCCTGAATACGTGCTGGAAGAGGGCTTCGGCGGTTTCCAGGGTGGTAGGTAATCCACGCAGGGGAATTAATTTGCAGGATTTGGAGAACCGGTCGACAACTACTAGGATGGTCGTGAATCCGTTCGAGGGAGGTAAATCAGTGGCAAAGTCCACACCCAGGTGGGACCAGGGCCGGTGAGGGATGGGTAGCGGAACCAGTTTTCCTTCCGGCAGACGACGTGGCGTGGTGGAGATGGCAGAGACCGAACATCCCTTGATATACCGGGCGACATCTCGGGCCATGTGGGTCCACCAGTAGCGGTTTTGAAGGAGCGAGAGGGTTCGGTGGCTGCCTGGGTGTCCCGATCCCGGAGAGGTGTGAACCGAGTCCAGAAGGGTTATCCGCAGGGTGGATGGGACATAGTTCTTCCCCTCTGGACCTCCCGGCGGAACGGGTTCGGTGAGAGTGGCAGCACGGATCTGGTCGGTGAGTGCCCATTGAATTGGAGACATGAAGACGGAAGGTGGCAGGATGGGCTCTGGTTCTTCGGGGGGGGAGGGGCGGTGGAGGATCTGGCTGGTGTTGGCAGGAAAGCACATCCGCTCTGAAATTCTTAGTCCCTGGACGGTACGTGACCGCAAAGTGGAAGCGGGTAAAGAACAGAGCCCAGCAGGCCTTCCACGGGTTAAGACGTTTGGCCTCTCGGAGATATTGTAGGTTCTTGTGGTCTGTGATCACTTCAAATGGATGCTTGGCCCCCTCCAACCAATGCCGCCACTCTTCCAGAGCGAGCTTGATGGCCAGCAACTCCCGATGTCCCACGTCGTAGTTCTATTCCGCCGGGGATAATTTCCGTGAGAAATACGCACATGGATGAAGCACGGGGGGTTCACCTTGCCATTGAGACAGGACGGTGCCCACTCCCAGGGTCGCTGCATCCACCTCGACCACGAAGCCGGTCCGGTGTGAAAGGGCCGGAGCCGTACAGAAGGCAGCTTTGAGCTGACTGAAGGCCTGGTGTGCCTCCGGGGTCCAGGTGAGTAATTTGACCTTCCGCCAGAGGAGAGAGGTAAGTGGTGCCGCCAACTGGCTGAAGTGGGCAATAAAGAGGCAATAGAAATTTGAGAACCCCAAGAATCTCTGCATCTCCTTGATGGTAGTCGGTTGGGCCCAGTTCCGAATGGCATCCACCTTCCTCTGGTCCATTTGCACCCCTGCAGGGGTGACGATGTAGCCCAGGAAGTGAACGGTGGATTGGCGGAGGCGTTGGAGTACTTGGGTGACATGGTGATGGTGTGCTTCGAGAGTGGGTGAGTAAATGAGTATGTCGTCTATGTAGACGAGGACGAACCAGTTGAGCATGTCTCTGAAGATCTCATTCATGAAGTTTTGGAATATGGAGGGTGAGTTGGAAAGCCCATACGGCATGACCCGGTACTCATAGTGCCCGGTGGGCGTTACAAAGGCGGTTTTCCATTCGTCACCCCTGCAAATGCGGATGAGGTTATAGGCGCTCCGATAGGCGAACTTCACCGTCTGGTCATTGAGGGCCCGGTAATCGATGCAAGGTCTCAGACCCCCATCCTTCTTGCCCCCGAAGAAGAATCTCGATGCTGCGGGTGAGGTGGACGGGCAGATGAACCCCTGTTGCAAGGCTTCCTGAATGTACTCCTCCATAGCGGCTCTCTCCGGGATCGATAGTGGATAGACGTGTCCTTTGTGTAATTGGGCCCCAGGCAGCAGATCAATGGCACAGTCCCATGGCCTGTGAGGTGGAAGGGGAGTGGCAGCGAGCTTGCTGAACACGTCCTGGAACGCCTGGTATTCGGGAGGAGGAGGAGTGACAGGCGATGAATCCGGGCTTTCCACCGAGGTGGAACAGACAGGGAGGTCGTTCCCGACGGAGATCGGGATAGGCAGATATCGGAGGCACTCCTGTTTACACTCTGCACTCCACTTGAGTATGTCTCCGGACTTCCAGGCGATGGTGGGTTGATGTTTGGCGAGCCAGGGGCGTCCCAGGACGATGTCCATGACGGCCTCCTCCAGCACCAGTATAGAGATCCATTCGGTGTGGAAACATCCAATCCGTAGGATGACTTTGGGCGTGCGGTGCCGCACCAGCCCCTTGCCCAGCGGCTTTCCCTGGACAGTGGTGATCTGGTAGGTCGTGGCATTTTTACAGCGGGGAATTTGTAACCCGGCGAGACTACGGGAGGAGATGAAATTCCCCGAAGCTCCGGAGTCCACGAGGATTTTGACTGGAAAGGATTGGGTGTGATAAATTAGAAGAGCATTTATATGAGGTATGCAAGACACATCAGGAGTGCATCTTGTATCCGTTTAATTTTGAGGGGCTGGTCTTCTGTCACATCCGGGACAAAGAGGCAAACAGACAGGTTAATGTAAGTCGGGGAGTTTATTCAACGGAACTTAGGAGTAGCCTCCCACAGAAAAGAATCAACTTAGGAATAAATGGAAGCAGAGAATACAGTCTTATCTGGGGTTGGCACTTTGGTCCTCCGGCCGAGAACTGAGGAATCCGAGGCTTGACAGGCAGATCGGGAGGCAAGGAACCCATAGAGAGAAGCTTGTAACCTTGAGACCAGCCGACGAGTGACTGAGGTGAGTATTTAACTGGTGTGGTAAGTGGGTGCAGGTGTCCATGATCAGTAATCAGGTGATTGTGAGCGGGTGTAGGAGGTGTGGCAGGTGTGGCAGGTGTTTCTGTGACAGTATCCCTTCTAGCTACAACCGCGAATATAACACATAATTACTGTATTTGCATTACTGTAAGGGTAGGTTATGGGTTGTGGTAGGTGTAGACATTAATAAACCATAATTTTACAGGTAGCATTTTTCGTTGTCGAATTGTACTACCCACTGTTTTAATGGGAGGTAGCAAAATCTGACAGGGTAGCAGCACAAATCGACAGAACACCGGAACATGTCCCAGTCCACGTGATCATATGGGAATCATATTTCCCATGTTACAAAAACAGCATTCTTTCATTTTAGAAACATGGCCGTAGCCAGGCTTTGAGTGAGGTCCGGGGGTGGGGGTGGGGCGGGGGGTTAAAGAATTGTAGAATTGTGCTATAATAATCTCTACAAATACAATTAAATAAATACACTCTAAAAACTTCAAAAGAAGTGTGAAAGAGGTTTTCAGTTTTGGAGGGATGATCATTTTAAAATAATACCCTATTTATTGCATCAAAATTTGTTAAAACTTTATTATACTTAGGGGTGGATAATTGTATCAGCTGTTTATTGTTTATGCAACAATACATATTACTTTTACAGTTTTTATTAATAACCATTGCTATATAGATGTTAAGTTTGTCTAGTGCTCTTATGAATATTTTTAGCATGGCTGGTGAAAATTTAACTACTGAATTTAACTAATTTATTTTAATTTAATATCTAATTTTAACATCTAATTTAAATTAACAAATTTAGGCTAACTACTGAACGACACAGCATAGACTTACAGTATAGTGTTTGCGTATTTCATTTAATTCTGGAACCTACTTGTTCTACAGATCTGTGTTCTAGTGTGAAATGCTACTGTTTTGACAGCATTGATAACGTTTTTGACCGAATGTACTGTCAGTTTAAGTGTCGGCGATGCAGTGTTGCCAAATATTGCTATTAAAACAAACAAAAGCTGAAAATAAACTGAAATTATTTCAAATATTTTGCAAATAAGATCATGTAAAGATATCGCTGACCCTAAACTGCAACGTCCTACTTTATTAACTTTCTAAAGTGTCAAATTAAGTGGAAAAGACAAATCCCAAAAATGCTTATAATAGCTGGATCTGCACCCGTGCCCTCACACACAACATCAAAAAGCTTCTTTCACGCCGGTGTTCTGTCGATCTGTGCTACCCTGTCAGATTTTGCTACCTCCCATTAAAACAGTGGGTAGTACAATTCGACAACAAAAAATGTTACCTGCAAAATTATGGTTTATTAGCGTCTACACCTACCCCAACTCTAAACCTACGCTTACAGTAATGCAAATACAGTAATTATGTGTTATATTCGCGGTTGTGGCTAGAAGGGATACAGCTACAGGAAACCAACAATAAATATTTTTTTCTACCTATTAGATTGTGCTTTATTAAAGTCTACACCTACCCCAATCCTAAACCCTTACAGTAATGCAGATACATTCATTATTGTTGTTCAGCATGAGAAAAAGGACGTAATATTGATGTGCACATGCGCAGTAAACCCTGGTAGTACAATCTGACGGGTAAGATAATCGGTGCATTCCAAACGGGATATATATCGCCCTCCGAAGGGCACTTCAGAGTGAAAACAATCATGGCCGCCATATTGAAGGGTTGTTCCAAACCAAAGTGCTCAAAACTGGCCACTTCAAAGAACCCTTCGGAATGAGGGATTTCGAATGGTACAACTGATGGACACTTCGGGCTCCCATGATCCTTTGCACAGATTCTTTGTATGATGACGGCGCCTCCGTGTGGGCACATGATGATGACGCAGAAGGGCACTTCAAGAAACTCAAATGCAAATTTGAGTCTGTTTGGTCCCCTACACCCTTCAACCCTTCGAAGCTCTCACTCCGGAGGGTAAACCCTTTGAAGGGATTAGGGCATAGGGATGGAAAGCAGGGAGAATGTCAGGACACCAGGCAGCGTCTGATGACGACATAGAGGCATACTCCGGTACTGTAACGTGTTTGTAACTCCCTGTACACACGACTCTGCAGCCACACACAGCTCCAACGTCATCGTCAAATTCGCTGACGACACAACGGTGATAGGCCTGATCACTGACAACAATGAGACGGCCTACAGAGGTGAGCACCCTGACTAAATGGTGTCAGGAGAACCACCTCTCACTCAACATCGACAAGACCAAGGAGCTGGTGGTGGATTTCAGGAGACAGAGCAGAGAACACACACCCATCACCATCGGCAAATCACCTGTGGAGCAGGTTAACAGCTTTAAGTTCCTCTGCGTTCACATCAATGAGGATCTCACATGGTCCACTCAAACAGATGCAGTGCTGAAGAAGACACATCAACACCTCTTCTTCCTGAGACGGCTGAGGAAGTTTGGAATGAGCCCCAGCATCCTCAGAACATTCTACACCTGCACTGTGGAGAGCATCTTGACTCGCTGCATCACTGCCTTGTTTGGAAACAGCACCGCTGGCAACCACAAAGCTCTGCAAAGGTTGTGCAAACTGCCCTCCACATTTTTGGAGGTGAGCTTCCCTCCCTCCAGGACATCTACACCAGGCGGTGTATAAGGAAAGCCCGGAGGATCATCAGTGACTCCAGCCACTCATCCCACATACTGCTCTCTCTGCTGCCCTCAGGAAAACGTCTCCACAGCATCCGATCCCGCACTAGCCGACTTAAGGAGAGCTTTTCCCCTCAGGCTATCAGGCTAATGAACAGTCAGAACGAATACACCCTACAGCATACTCCCACTATACAGTATGCCACACACTGCACTTTAACTCCATCACAGTTCAATACTGGACTATACGTACACACTGCACTTAATACAATAATCTATCTGCTACCACTGGATACCATCCAATGTACATCCATGACATTTTGCGTATCCAGTTTATGTATAATCTGCTGCACCTTCACATTATTGTGTGTATATATGTGTACATAATTTAGAATTTGCACATACTGTGTATAATGTGTATTGTTAACTGTAAGTATGTATATGTATGTGTATATTGCACATTGTCATCTGTATAAGTCTGTAGGCATGTAATGGTACTGTCTATTTGTAAATTGTTTGTGCACTGTGGTGATGTGACAATAAAAGTGATTTGATTTGATTTCATGTCACTTAAATTCAAGCTGACTCCTAATTAGAAATTGTCACAGATGTATCATGCAAAACAAGAAGTTGCAAAGTATGCAAAAATAAGTATGGTACATTAAACATTTCTGAACATTTCTAATTATTCTCTTCTTTGATGGTGTTTCTTTTAGGTCGATAGACGCTACCACACTCCAGTTGGTGCATTGGACAGTGAGCAGCATATCGCACAAGCTACAGAGATACTCATTAGCTTCATTAAAGAAATTAAAGCAATATTTCCCATGTGGTCCCAAGAGCAATGCTTTAAAGGTAGGTTTACAATAACATTTAAAATAAATAAATAAACATAAATAGCATAAAACTTAAAAAAAAAGAGATAAATAAAGGCAAATAGAAGTTTATCACTTAATTTCCATGTCTCAGTTGTATTATAATGTCTGTTTCAGGGGGAATATCAGCCTACAACGCAGGTGTGAGTACCGTCAGTTCATATGAGAATATCGATGCCAGAACCACAGGACAAGACTACTCCAATGATGTTGTTGCCAGAGCCCAGTATTTCAAAAGCAAGGGTTACTAAAGAACAGCAGTTATGAAGCTGTAAAACCCTTAAATTAGTATAATGAGTACAACAACTCAAGATTATAAGTCTTCATTTTTAATATTAGACCTTTTGTAGTGATATTCTTAGTTAAATATAGATATTAGATTGCTAATATAATCTTTCCAAACCATTTAAGAGTTTGCGTTTTCAAAATATGACCATATTAATGATACTACAGAGCTGCAGTGAATTTCCTGTAATGATAGTAATGAAGATCTTATTCAATAAAATTCATTTATTTACTCAACTCATGTGTGTATTATTTATCACAATGATCTTAGGAACAGTCCTTCCAAATTCACAATAAAATAACAATATTTATTACTCCTGAAAGTAGCCATTTGGATGCAAACACAACTTGAAACAACTTGTTGTTCTCCACGACTGAGGGCGATGTTGAGCCTAATCCTGCACTCACACATGACACTGTAGAACAATGTTTCTCTGATAACATTGCATTTAGGGAACATTGGGGGGCGCTGGAAGCAATGTTGTGCTGCAACCTCTCTTTCGCAATGTGAGCACTTCCACCAGTGTCAGAATGGGTGGTGAACATGATCAGGAGCACTTCAGTTTGCACGCAGACTGCCCCACTTGCCAGATCGGGACACACCCATATTGCAAGTAGAGATCCACTCCACTCTAGGCATACTAGAAACTTCTAGGCAGGTGTGTTGAGGCAAGTTGGAGCTAAACTCTGGAGGTTTGGGGACCTCTGTTCTAGACGTTTTGAAGTGTCAAAGGAAGAACAGCATGCTTTATCCCACACAGAGCATCGAATTCTTGGGTATGACCCTAGACTCGCGAGCAATACAAGCTCATTTTGCCCACTGTTCTTCTAACGAGTGTACCCCTGGAAGGGGATAAGCTATCAAGGTACTGGCCAAAAAAAGCACAAATATGCTTTTCCGCCAGTCAAGATCATGCTGTTGGTGTTGCACAAGATCAGGAGACTGTACTTCTGGTTGCAGTTGTGATTTCTGGAGACAGAACTCCTTATAGCTCCCTTGTGGCACATTCCCTTACAACGGGACCTGTTGTCTCAAGCAACGGGCACTATATGGCACCGCAAGTTAGCACTATGGGCATATGCTGAAAGTACAAGAAGTCGAGTGTCAAAGGAAGAACAGCATGCTTTATCCCACACAGAGCATCGAATTCTTGGGTATGACCCTAGACTCGCGAGCAATACAAGCTCATTTTGCCCACTGTTCTTCTAACGAGTGTACCCCTGGAAGGGGATAAGCTATCAAGGTACTGGCCAAAAAAAGCACAAATATGCTTTTCCGCCAGTCAAGATCATGCTGTTGGTGTTGCACAAGATCAGGAGACTGTACTTCTGGTTGCAGTTGTGATTTCCGGAGACAGAACTCCTTATAGCTCCCTTGTGGCACATTCCCTTACAACGGGACCTGTTGTCTCAAGCAACGGGCACTATGTGGCACCGCAAGTTAGCACTATGGGCATATGCTGAAAGTACAACAAGTCAAAGTCTGCTTTATTGTCAATTCTGCCACATGTACAGCACATACATACAGATAAATTAAATTGCGTTACTTTCAGACCCTTGGTGCATACAGATAACACTAAACACTAGCAGTAGAATGTAAAAAATACAGATTAAATATACAGTATATATAATACAAACTATACAAATACAAATAAGGACATTGTAAAAAACAAGGCACATGGCAGATAGAAGGCAAACCAGTGAGATAAACAACAGTGCAGATATAATGAGTGTAGTGCAAAAAGAGCTTATCAGTCTGTTTAAAGTGACAAAGTGCTCAGAGAGAAGTCTTTAATTAAACTGTCAGAAGAGGTAGTTTGCAGTCCAATGCTGAATGCTTTGCTGATTATTTTCCACATACTGTACATTATTGCCTTTCTGAAACGCGTAGATTTTTACAAAGCTCATCGGTCTGAAAAGCGAGGTGTGTTCTGATTGGCCAGCTATCCAGTGCATTGTGATTGGCCGGATACCTCAAGCGTGTGATGGAAATATTACGCCCCTTTCCATATGTGATGCCGTCTCCCGGCACGACCAGACAAAACCAATAAAACCCATTACAAACTAGGCATTTGTTGCATCCAGTGGGGACATAATTACGGATTATAATGACTTAAACTGTCTTTTTACGCGCTGCGTTGCATCGCGCCGCGTAAACATAAAACCATGTCTGCATTTGTGATCGGAGAAATGACAAACAACAAGCGCTACTCTACACTGCTCAAAACTCGCGTTTGAATCATCAGTGGCAAATCCTTTAAATGAAAACATACTTACAGACTGTGAGTCAGAACAGCCAGCATTGTTCCAGCAAGAATTTCTCTTTGGATTTGAGTCTTTGCAACTTTACAGATCTTCTTTATGCACCAAGAGCATGTAACACTCCAAAGAGAAAGGAAAAATTGAAATTGCATCATATGACCCCTTTAAAGGCTATAGATGTTTCTCGGCCAAATATTGTCCTATCATAACAAACCATACATCAATGGAAAGCGTATTTGTATACATCTCAATTTTGAAAAATTTACCCTTATGACTGGTTTTATGGTCCAGGGTCACATATGGCTACGCCCCTTGCAAGCAGGTCTAGTTGGGGGGTCTAGGCCCTTCGCCTAAGTCTATTTCAGGGGGAATATCATGAGCGCATGGACGTGGGTACCATAGGTGGTGACTATGCTAATAATGTTGTTGCCAGAGCCCAGTGGTTCAAATACAAGGGTTACTTGAAGAACACTGTGTTTTGTTCATTCTAATCGATGTTCACTGTTATTTATTTTGGTTTCTATTTGTTGGGTTGAAATCATGTGTCTCTAATCAAATCATGTGTCTCTAATGAATAGTCTTACCATATTCATATTAAAATGATCTTGTTAGGGGTCCAGGCAGTATAGCAGTTTTAGCCTTTTTTCAGCTTTGCTTTCATGTACTTCTTAGATGCCATATTATTTTTCTCTCCTAAAAGTACATGGGCAACAGTAACTGTAAAGCACAAATAAATCAGAATTGGATGGTCCCATATATCAACTATTACTCTGCCAAGTGCAATGAAAACTACCTGACACTAGCTGGCAGTATAATTTTATGTTTATTTGTTTATAACTCACAAACCATGTAGTTATTATATTAACAACTGGTAGTTGTTTGAATTGTCTATGGTGAAGTCAGATTAGTATTGGGAATTTCCATGACAGTATAATAAAATTGGAGACTGTATGTTTGTAAGGGAGTTGCCTCGTATAAATAAATGAATATAGATATATTAAAAGTGGAAAGGGTTTATACAATATTTAGTTTGACCTCCTGAGGTTGACAATGTTTTCTGAGGTTTAAACACCTACCTTCACTGATGCTTTGCTGCAAAATTTAACGTTTAATCAAGGAAGTTTTGAAATGGCAGATTTGGCATGCTTTTTTTCACTGGCACAAGTGCTAACATTTCCCCCAAAAATTCCCACAGCTTTAATTTCATTTGTCATTGACTACATTCACCGAAAGTGGTTATACCTTTTTGAGGTTTATGAAGCCTCCACCTGATAAATCTTCCCACTTATGATTCACTTGCTTGGGTGTGATCTAATAATATGATCACATTAAAAAAAATAAAAAAAATCTAAAAAAAGATTTCTCCACACCTTAGCAGAAAAACATCTGGGGGAAAAAAGAAACCACTCCCTCTGCAATCATATATAATCCGGCCCTGCTGAGGTCTGATTTAGTGAGAAGGCTCATCAAACTCAGTGATTTGCTCTTTCACAGCAGTTCTACATCAACATCATGGGTAAGTCATATAATATTAGGTGCTGACGGTTTTTTATATGATACAGTATTTTCATTTTGTGATAGTTTAGCACTGCATACATTTTCTGCATAAATAATTATTTAAGGGTTTCAGGTGATATTTTCCATGTTGTTTCTAGCATGCCTTTATGGAGACATCCTGAAAATAGACACCACCGGTGCATCAGAGAAGACAGCAAAACAAGACAAATTAACCATAAAGGGTGAGAATGCATGACTGCATACAAATCACTTATGACTCTTTTGTGTGCACCATGTTACAGTATTAACATTTCCAACTTGTCATAGGGGTTGAAGCCTCCAAAAAACTGGCTGAGACTGATCTGGTCCGGATAGAGAAATACAAGAGTATAATTATCAAAGTTGGCAGAGCAAAGCAGATGGACCCAGTTGTGATTGCTGCCATTATATCCAGAGAGTCCAGAGCCGGAGCCGTCCTGAAGAATGGATGGGGCGACCATGACAATGGATTTGGCCTCATGCAGGTTGGTCAGAAGAACTGATTTACTCTATTTCAAAATATAGTAATATAAGTAATGAGATAAGATTTAAAGTGGTGAGTATAAACTAAAGCTGACTCGTAAATGTAAGTTGTAGATATCCCATGCAAGACATTTTTATACCAGCAAGAAATAAGCAGAGTACATTTAATATTTCTGAACATTTGAAATCATTCTCGTTTGATTATGTTTCTTAAAGGTTGACAAACGCTACCACGCTCTAACAGGTGCATGGGACAGTGAGCTGCATGTCATACAAGCTACTGACATACTCATTGGCTTCATTAAAGAAATTAAAGTAAAATTCCCCAAGTGGACACAAGAGCAATGCTTTAAAGGTAGGTTGGGTTTACACTGAGAGATAAATCAACATAAAGACAATTAAATGCAAATAGAAGTTCATCACTTAACTCTCAAGTCTCAGTTGTAGTATAATGTCTGTTTCAGGGGGAATATCAGCCTACAACGCAGGTGTGAAGAATGTCCAAACGTATGAGCGCATGGACATCGGCACCACAGGAGATGATTACGCCAATGATGTTGTTGCCAGAGCCCAGTGGTTCAAAAGCAAGGGTTTCTGAAAAACTGCAGTAAAACCCTTACATTAGTGCAGTGAGAACCACTAGTCCTGATCCTTAACATTAGGCCTACTGTATTGCTATGGTTAGTTAAAAATAGTTAGTAGATGCTGATGTAATCTTTCTCTTTGTGGTGTTTTCAAAATGAAACTGCACAGTGCATTTCCTGTGATGATAGTAATGAAGATCTGATTAAATAAAGCTCATCTATTTACTCCAATCACGTGTTTACTATTTATCACAACGGCCTTATGAAGTCTTTCCAAATCTACATTAAATTGGCCTCATATGTAGGCTATTCTTCATTGCTCCTGGAAGTAGCTGCAAACACGTTT